TTTCTGCCCTCCCTATCTGAAGAGGCAGAAATGAAACAGCCAAACGATCCAGCAAGCTGTAAATTWACTATTGTCTTGTTAATTTCACTATTTACCCAAACATAGGAAAAACTGGTTTATCAGCAAACAGCTTCAAACAGCACTGGTTTTTCCAAACCACACAAATGTTCTGATGGGCAGCAAGAAGTACGAAAGTAGAGACACTTCTCCTTTCAAAGAAATTTATAATCTGTGCAAATTGCATTTAATGAATTGTTYCTTTCTGTAGTGATCATTAAGTAATTAAGTAAAAATACCATTTTTAAGATAAAAACCTGTGCCTTTACAACACTATATCCAGTAAGGGGAAAAAGACCAATAAGCAAATTTAGGAGCTTTTATTTGTAAATTTTTTTAACTGCTCCACTACACTAATTAGTATTTTAGAATTTCCACCATGAAGAGAGAAATCAGAAGGAAGAGGGGACTCGTTTTAGAGATAGTTAGAAGTGATTTATTTTAAAATAAATCAGCTATGGGTTGATTATTTCCCAAACAGGAAATATTTCCTGAATTGGTGGCATACAATTTTAGACACAAAACAATAAAGGGAGCCTACTTCAATTTAAACAGAATCAGTGAACCATGTTACAGGGCTATTCATCTTTTACAGCCACAGCARCCCAAGAAATACAACAGCAAGGCCATAAATGTGATTGCTTCAGGAAAGGCTGTACAGTGCACCGTAAAAACATTTTACAACAGCAGGAATTCCTGGGTGTCGCTCTCCCCATTTTTTGGTCCATCTGCTTTCAAAGGGGGTAGGGGGATGGGCGGAGATGTTGTTAAACGTCCCCCGGGACTGCACAGCAATCAATCATCATCTGATGAATGGCCACTAAAGTTAAACCCTGACCCCACTCCACAATTCCCACACCAGCCCTTCTCTCCTTACTGCTGACCAGCTTCCAGCGTGCCCCCCCACCTTCCAGCCCTCACCAAAATTTCCCAAATACCAAGCCCAGACAAAAGCAATGGAATGTAGTAGGCACCATGACAGAGGAGAATTCAGCAGAAACAGCATCTGAGGAGGCTTATCCTTACACTGTGTTAAAATAAATGTCCTTTCAGCAATACTCACAGTGCCTTTCTCCTCCCAGCCTGAAAACATTTCATTTCTCTCATTTTCAGAGCACATCTCAGAGCATATGTGCATGCTAATGAAAAATGAAACATGAGGAATCTAGTCACATTAAAAATTTGTTTTCTGTCACGACATTTCAGTATCTTGCAAGGATTTTATTTAAGCCTACAGAGTTAAGAATTTGTACAAGGCAGCAACACACAAGGGCACATTATTTTTAAAATGCWAGTCTGATGTTCTAAAAAGCTACCCCGTAATCTTAACCAACAATTAAAGAAGTCTACAGGCAAAACAGTAGCCWCTTGGTTTTACTTTTGGAAAAGTTTTAGTATGGCATTTGTAACTTAGGCTGATTTTATGATTAAAAAAAACATCATACGTACCATAGTCAGTTTAAAGTTTTCCATTACTAGAGGTGTTTGATTATCAAGTTCCCTTGACAGTAACTCAAACACCAGTGGCTTTGTTAGGTAGTGTGTAAGGCTTTGATGACCGAGTTTAGTATAAAGCAATTTTCCAATGAATTTTGGTCCAGCTTCCTCAGCACTGTGGGTTTGTATGGTTTGTTTTTTGTTTTTTGGTTTTTTTTTTTG